AGTTGTATATAATAGCTTGTAAGAAGTACATATAGTTACATATTTAAATAATCTTATGTAACTCACACAACACCAGCAATTCGTATAACTTCAGAAATCATATCATTCCAAAGAAAAATAAGGTAACGTGCAACAACGACTAACGACCTGTTGCACTTACCTCTATAGTAATGGAATGTTTTGAGAAAATAATTCTGAAAGAAATTTTGAATGAAGTACAGCAAAAACTTGACCACCACCAATTTGCTTACAAACCTGCCAGAAGTACGGAGGACGCAATCTTACTACTGTTTGTGAGAATTTACGATCACCTAGACGGTCCTAAACATACGCCAGAGTGCCTTTCTTAGATTCCTCATCAGCATTTAACACTATCCAACCACACCTTATGATAAAGAAACTTTCCTCGTTAGGTGTCAATTTAACTATTCAGGCTTGGATACTGAACTTTTTAACAAATCGACCACATCAATATGTCAAAGTAAATAACCAAGTATCTCTAACCAGAGAAATAAGCATCGGGGCACCACAAGGCTGCGTTCTCTCTCCTGTACTGTATACAATATATACAAATTATATTCAAAACTCAAGCAACACCGTTCCAATCTTAAAAATTGCTGATGATGCCACCCTTGTTGGCTTAATATCTGAAGAAGGCCTATACTGCAATTTAGTTACAAGCTTAATCATATCGTGCAATGACATTTTCTCCAGCTGAATGTCTCAAAAACAAAGGAAATGGTTTTTGATTTCAGGAGGGGGTAACACCAGACTGCAGATCTCAACATAAAAATCAAAGTGTAGTAAAAATGGAGGCATACAAGTACTTAGGTGGCACCATTAATAACAAGCTAACATGGCATGAGCACGGCCAAATGCTGTATAAGAATTTCAACCAATGACTGTTCTACCTCAAATAACTGTACAATTTCGGCGTAAACAAGCAAGTCGTTAACTTATTCTACAGTGCAACAATTGGAAGCCTCCTTAATTTCAGTATTACCTGCTGGTGTGGGAATTCAACGTCTGATATTAAACACCGCATAAACCGACTAATCAAGAAAGCTAGGAACATAACACAAACTAAACATCCTTCACATGAAGAACTATTTGAAGAAAGATGTTTTTGTAAAACTAAACACATTTTGGATGATACATCCCACCCTCTTTATCAAACTACTTAGGATCGAGCCGTTCGGGACGATTCTTTCCATCATGGCGAAGACTCAAGATACAAAAATTCTTTTGTTCCCCAATCTGTACGAATTTACCGGCGTGGTCTCTGAAGTCACATATGTTAATGGAGAACAAATAAGTCCACGATTTGGCCAAGAGAACACACTGAATGGCTGTTTAATATAATTTATAATAAATGTCTTGTCTTCAAATTGTTTCATTTATGTGCTGAAAATGTATAACGCAATAAAAAAAAAATCCATTTATTTGGATCAATAAAAGAATCTTATCTTATCTTATTTCATGCGATGTAAGGCAGTTGTATATAACTGCTTGTAAGAAGCACATTTCATGCAATGTAAGACAGGTGTATATAATAGCACACATATCCATCATTATCTGAAAGGAATTCTTGGGGTTCATGAACTTTTTATAACATTCCGTTTGGGACCAGTGGCCCCGAGTTCGCTGTTTTACGTATATGATATGATATATATGAAAACACCAACTAATACTCTTACATGATTGTATTTATCATTACCAAATTTAGAATACATACACTCATTTGTCAATAAACAAATACCATAGGGTGTTGAACTCAAAATATCCATTCCTTTTCTGCACGAGACCCCATTTCATTTCTCCTTATATAATATTTATAAATATCAATAGGCTTAGACAGCACTATAAGCTCTATTTGAACTGATGGATATATACATAGCTTGGTAGCAAAAACATTTCAGAGTCCATATTGAAATATGGTTGATTTGAAATTAATAATATCCAATCCAATCAGAGCCGACCTAGAGTCTAACATTAAGTTCGACAATTACAAAAAGGCTATATCCATGGCATTTTAAACCTGATTTTAATGGGAAACAATTTGAAACAGTAACTGTCTCATTTATGTGTCTGATTTGTACAGGTCCCCTTAGCTCAGGCATAACTAAATCACCAAAGTTATAAAATGGCCATCCTAGGGCTACTCGGTTAACTTAAAAGAAAACTGCTCAGTATAAGACAGAAGACATTGGTGTCGGTTAAGCACTGGATGACCATAAACAAGCTCAAATTAAATGATGAGAAGACTGAGCTGCTCCCCATCGCGACCGCTCAGAAGCAAAAATCTGCAAATAACACGACATCCATTACTCTCTCAGGTGTGCGTATTGAGTTAGCTCAAACTGTGCGGTACCTGGTTGTCTACCTAGATAGAAGACTAACTTTTGAAAGTCATATTAACATGCTATGCAAGGCGATTTTTCTGGAGCTGCGCAGGATTAGTCACATCAGGCCCTTCCTAACAATTGATGCAACAAAGAGGCTGATGTCTGCATTTGTGCTATCACGCATGGACTATTGCAATGCTCTCATGGTGTGTCTTCCAGCTACGCTCCTGGATAAAATTCAAATAGCACAGAATAATGCGGCTTGCATTGTTCTCCGCAAAAACAAGTTCGACCATGCAAAAACACTTCTGAGGGAGCTGCATTGGCTGCCGGTGCGTGCTCGCATAGAGTACAAAATCGCAACTTTGTGCTACCGCTGCTTACATGACCTGGCGCCGTCCTATCTGAAAGAGCTGCTGACGCCTTATGTACCCACTAGAGAGCTCCGCTCATCCGATAGTGGCAAACTCTCGACACCACGTGTTTGCCTTGAGACTTACGGAAAGCGCACTTTCGCATTTGCTGGTCCAACAATTTGGAACGCCCTTCCTGTCGATCTCAGAAACAACCAGACACTGGAGTCCTTTAAAACCGATTTAAAGACACATCTATTTCGCAAACACCTTCTGGGATGATTGTCAACCTTATTTTCCAGTTAATGCATAATGGCTGTGTTGCTTATGGTTGAAATGGCTAGAAAGACTTTGCCATTGTATGCTTGTAATTAGTTTTTGTAGTGTTGCGTTTGTTTTAAATGTGGTAAATTATAGATTTGTTTTTTGTTGACTTTGTACCGCGCTTCGAGCCTTTGGGGATGAAGCGTGTTTTTGAAATGAACTTTATTATTATTATTATTATTATTATTATTAAGATGGCATTTGTTGAAGATCTTATCATAATCGAAAATTAATTAGAAAACTAGTTTTTACACATATTTGGACCAGGTTATAACATTAATCTAGAATATTCCAGTTCTTTATTGTTCCACGGGCACACATAGATGGATATTAAAGCTTATTGAAATATTAGTTTAGTTCTATTCTTTTCTATACTGTTTAGAATTTACTGTTCTCTAAGTATCACTGAGTAATTATTTTAATACGGGATCCCACCGGGACTTGGTTTAAACAGAAAACGGGATCACACCGGGATCGGGATCCAACATCATCCCGAAGAGATCGGGAACCTACCGGTATCATGATCCCACTGGAACTGGGATCGCACCGAGATTGGGAACCCCTGGGAACTGGATTCCCTCGGGAAAATTGATCTCATTGAGATTTGAATCTAAAGAGATCAGGATCCTACCGGGATCGGATCCCACCTCGAAACCGGATCCCGCCTGGATCGGTAATCCACAACTAAGTATCTGGATTCCACAGAGATCATCATCCATCCTGAATGTGGTCCAACTTGGAGCGGGATCCCCAAAGGATCCAAACATCGTAAGGATCCCTCAGGTAAATGCGACACCTTCGTCAATCGGAAACAAGGTGTAGAAGTTGTTTTTGTTTTTTTTCAGAGTTCAAACCCGGGCGACGTAGGATGTATTGGATAGTATGTAGAGTCTACATCGGTTCTCAACCTGTGGGTCGTGACACCTTTGGGGGTCGCACGAACCTTTCACAGGGGTCGCCTAAGACCATCTGAAAACACATGTACTCTACAGTTATAAAGTATCAACGAAAATAATTTTGTGGTTGTTTTGGTTGGGGGGGGGGGTCGCCACAACATGGGGAACTCTATTAAGCGTTCGCGGCATTAGAAAGGTTGAGAACCACTGATATAGATAATTTAGATTTCTAAATCAACAAGATGTAAATCCCAAAATAGATTTGATCTGTGTTACATTTTTACTTTGTCAATGTGTTTAAGCGCTGTGTGCCGCCCCAAACGCTTGAATTTAATGAGCCGATGACCATTGAAATTTAGATTGAAATCAATGTGTAGACTTCTAGACACACCGGCAGGTACATGATTTGCTCTTAGAGGCATTTTAGTTATAATGTTGTGTATGATGTCCGCCTTATCACTTACTCAAAGCACATGTTACGAGAACTGTGAATGAGCTGGCGAAAACCAGATCTATATATTTTTTTCTATATATTAAACAAAGAATCATTTTGTCTGTAAAAAAAATTATGTAGGTGTTCCTCTTGCCTTGACTTCTTGATGTGCCCGAGATTTTTTACTCGCGCTTAGTTCAGGTGTGGACGACAAAACATAGTGAATGTCTTTGATGAGACGTAAGACAAATACAAAGATAAAGACTATTCCAATCATTACATTTAAATCCATCTCGAAATGAACTTTAACAACATGGATAAATATTTTTAAAGAGATCTAAAATAAAAATTTTTTTTTTTAAAAAACTACAATTATCAAAAGTGGTATTTTCCAACAAATGATTATCTTTCTATCACTTATTTCTATCTAAGTCAAGTGGATAAATTATTGATGTAGATTGTTCAAATTAATGTTAGAATGAACAGTACAGGAATATATAATTCAGCCAAAATATTATTTTTTTTAAAGTTCTATAAATGTTATAATCTATTTAAGGAATTGTAAATTTATTTTTCAAATTTAGCAGTTAGTCTTCTGATTTCATTTTATTTAGAGATCAATTTTATACACATACACATCTGTGTGTTCGTTCCTAGAAGCCCTTCTCACTCCACATCATTCAACCCCACATCCTACAACCACACATTCCCACTCAACTGCGTCATTGTCATTGTGTTTTCGTGTATTTCTATGAGGCCTTGACCTTTTCAACACTCCCCGTCATGTTTTATCGTGACGAGCACTTTCGACTTCCGCTCGCAGTTGGCGACACTCAGCCTGCATTCGTTGGAGTACGTCTTTCCGTCGCTGCCGCAGACGGGTTGGTGGAGCAAGACACAGGCGTCCTCGCACGCATTGGAGTCTTCGACGTCCTCCAAACAAGGTCCTGGGTAGGACACCACGAGCCGCTTGGTGGCATTGCCTTCGGTGTCGTCTTTTTGCAAGGCGTCTGCTTTGCGTCTGAGGAGACACTCGTTATTGTAGGTGACGCCGTCACTACCACAGACTTGATCAATCTTCTTGTTGCATTTTTTAAATGCCGTGGATTCTGTGGATCAACAGAAAAAAAAAAGTATTGAAATTTAAACTGAATCTTAAGTCACAAAATATCAATTTCGAGATAATCAAGGTCATATATTCTTTTCATCCATAAAATGTGATTATTTTCATATTTGGTCAAATAAACCACTTTCTTTCATTTTAATGTGTTTAAATTTATGCAGTTCACTTGGCCAAACCGAATAAGAAAAATGTCTCTGTTTAGAGAGACATTGACCAAAAAATGTGACGTAAGTACGTTTAGCACTAGGTGTCTTCTCCACCTCTCAATCAAATCCATTGACATGAATACAACAGTTTATATAAGAACAATAGGTCCAAGAAAAGGTGTGGATTCGAACCCTGAGGTTAACCAAATTTCTTTGCACAGGGTCTGAATGGATGCGTGGTGTCTGAATGGATGCACGGGGTCTGAATGGATGCGTGGTGTCTGAATGGATGCACGGGGTCTGAATGGATGCGTGGTGTCTGAATGGATGCACGGGGTCTGAATGGATGCACGGGGTCTGAATGGATGCACGGGGTCTGAATGTATGCACAGGTATCTGAATGGATGCATGGGTATCTGAATGGATACATAACCAATACTAGTGATGCCCTTATTTTATCGTTGTCTATTGAGTGCACATTAGCCATATGGGGTATTGTACCCTTTTTTGGCAATCTGTATCATTAAACTGTGGTATACTAGCAGAGCCGTTGCTTTGTCAGTTCTACGAAATGATTCTGCTTCAACTGCCAGTCAAGGTCTTGTCAAATATTAATCAATTCAACTGACGCTTTCAAACTTATTAAATGTAACGACAACGTGACCTTGCTCTGCGGAGCAGGTTGGGATAAATCTTAATAAACAATAACCGGTTGACAACTGATTGAAAACGTTTAATGTCTCCCCCTCCTTTTTTTTTCCTACTCGCCCGAACCCCATTTAACAAAATAAAAAAAAAGAACCTTCTCTTTAGTTTCTAATCCCAATGAGGTCAGTTTTTGCACGGGTCTTGTGCTCCATGGGAGATTGTTTCCCTTGGGTCAGACGTTATGATGGGGTAATTCTTGCTGTATTTCTGGTTGCTTCCCTGTTATAATATTTGAAATGTTCGCCCCCTCCCCAGGAACAAGACAATCAACCTGTTTTCGGAGATCAGACGTCACGCGCAAAGCTCGCTGCTTGAAAGTCTTTTTTCTCCTCAGTAATATTAACATAAAACATGTGGAATTGAGGTATGTGTGTACCGGTTTTGAAGAGGAAACAATACGACCCTAAGTACAATATATAGAAGAGATTACCTGCTGAGAGAAATGGCAGAAGCGCAACTAACATCAGCAATGTAACCAGCAAGGGAGTCATTTTGTCTTCTTCTTCTCCTGCAGGGAAATACATTCGTAAGTCAAATTCAGAAGACCATCGTCATAAGTCACATTCAGAAAGCTACTGGCATAAGTGACATTTAGCATACCATGCCACAAGAAGACTAATGTCATAGCTAACATTGAATATTCAGAGTCATTAGTCACATTCAGTACACTTTTCTCACCAGTCCAATACAGTCGACCTATTTTACAAGTCACATCCTACTAGAAAAATGTCACTAGTCACAATCAGTAGGCAATGTAACTGGCAGGCTTTTCCACTCTCTTAAAATATATAAACAGTTTTAATTTTTTTTTAAACTGAACGGCTTGATACTTTATAACTGTTAAAATGTTGGCTACTATAGCTCACAGATGTGGCGGTGAATACAACTAAGTTCAGATGACGGCTTCTTCTTAGTGGTAAAATATATGGTCAAAATATATGTATATTAAAGACTATTATCGATACCTACCTTTCTACTTCTGCAAAATTAGCTTAGCTTATGTCAATAAAAAGATAAATTGTTGAATAGTTGAATAAATGAATAGTTGAAAATTTGAATAATTTTATGATTTAATAATTTAATAGTTAAATAATTAAATAAATCATTATTTGAATATTTGTATAAGGTAATAGTTGAATAGCTTTTCTAAAAAAAAATTGAATAATAGAATAGTTAATAATATTTTAGTTAAATAATTAATGACACAATTTTTAATGTTTATTATCAACTAAAAATCAAGATAGGTTGTTGTTAATTTTGTATTTCTTATCGCAGTCAAAAGTATTTCTTTGTAATAATACAAAAATCATAAATCCTGTCCCAAAACTTCCATTAATAACATGATTATTCATAGTTATTAATTTAAATTTTCTATATTTATATAATTATATTTTTATCACAATAAATGAATTTTATTATTATCCATTGATTACCATATGTATGTATGTATGTAAGTATTATTATTATTTTTTTACATTTCCATTATAATCTTATTTTCAAGGAAGAAATATATTCAAAAACCTTTTTAAAAAACCAACAAAAAAAAATTTAAAAGAACAAGCCAAAAAGCAAGAGCATTAAAATCTAGAGCAAATTGTATCGAACATTTGGTTCGCATCAACATGTTAAAAGTAAGGAAGACGTTCACTAACGAAAAAGATGAGAACTATTCCAGTGAAAGATACAAAGCAAACCTTCCTGAGTTTCAGATGAAGTACGAAAGAGTTGCGCTAGTTCGACCTTGCAGAAGTAAAAATTAAAGAAAAAATGATTCGACGAGACAAATATTACATTACCGCTGGACAAGATTGTTACAAGCGATGAAGGTGAAGCCTAGCAGTGGCGGACCCAATATATTTTTGATTGTTGGGTGCATGAAAACATGTATCAATAATTTAAAAAAAAATAATCTAAAAATGAGTTTGTTCGTAAAAATCCCTCAATGAAATATCGAGCTCTTGTGGAAAAGGAAGAGATGGGGTTGGGTCTGAAAAATGTGACAAAACATGCATCCAAGAAACACACTTCATATGAATCCCAATTAGTGCGTCACAACCTACTGCAAGGCAATCAAGCACTCATTATTTTCACGACCTCGAACTATATCAATATTTTAATGCCCCACCTGCATTCACACCGACACATTATTTCACCATCTATTTCTTAAAAGCAAAAGAAAATATTAAGCCCCAAACGCTTGAAGAAGCGCAGTTATCGAGAATTTGTTATCGTGAAATCATGCGTCCGTCATCTTCCCCATGCAAACAAATATCAAAACCTGATTTTAAGCTGTTGGAGTATTGGGGTGAGGTTGAAAATTCGACGAACTATGTTGAAATCGGTAGCGCGTCTAAGTTTCAGCTCGATAGGTTGACAAGAAGAGTGACGATTAGAAGTTCGAAGATTTTGCCACAAAACTACGCAGCCTCGAACAAAAGATTAATAATTATTGTAAAGGATTTAAAATATGACTTTTGAAAAAATAATTGCATTTAAATATGAATATTTAAAATAAAACAATTTTGACATATCAGGGCATTAAACAACAGTCCCCGCCCCCACCCCCCATGCACGCCGCCAACGTCAAGTAACTAGTATTTCTTTCGATCCTTCACTTTGTTCACAAATGATAGTATTATAGGATCTCTTTTCCCTTATGTTAAGTAGCTTACCTAGTATCTGAGGACATAATTGTAAGCCATTAGAGTGCTGAGACTATATATTTGGGACATTCGTTTCAGGAGGAGGAGTAGCTCCTGTATTGTAACATTTAATTATGTATTATTTTACGTTGCCATAGGAGCCGGGACAAAAGGTTCATAAACAGTAGGTAAATAATACTTGTCGAAAGCAAAATATTTGTATATATATGTATATATATATGTATATATATATATATATATATATATATATATATATATATACTTGCCGATATACCGGGCGTGGCCCGGCATTGCATTAGGATCTATATCCCAGGAGCAGTCCTACTTCTCATATATATCAAAAAAAATATATATATATATATATATATATATATATATATATATATATATATATATATATATATATATATATATATACTTGCCGATATACCGGGCGTGGCCCGGCATTGCATTAGGATCTATATCCCAGGAGCAGTCCTACTTCTCGATGTGATACTATAACTATAGTACATTTAAAATGAAATGGGGGCCCCGGTGGGGTTGAGGCCCTATAAAATTATTCTGATTAATCATAAAGTTTAAAATTTGTTCCATTAAAATCGGTTTAAAAATACCATAGTTATAGTTTTTTCTAAAAATTATGGACGTTTCTAAAAAATTCTAGATCGGCCCTAAATTGATTGGATATGCTTAGTTTTAAATCCACCAATATTTAAATACGGACAAAGAAAGGAATTGCTACAAAGACAGGAACTCTTAAGGGGTTATGAACTTTTTTATAACATTTCGTTTGGGGCTGAGGGCCCGAAATCGTTTTTTTCCTTATATAAGCAAAGTAAATAACATTAACAAGAAATACTCCAACATCCATAGGTGGATCTTGACCAGACTTAGTACACATGCACATGATTATCCATACTAAAAAACCGAAGGACACTGACCTCATAATATCCATCCCTCTGAGGCCAGGGGCCCCGTTTATTTCTTTCTGTTATTGGCTATATAAATATCAATAGGCTTAATACTACTACATGAATAGATGGATCTTGACCAAACTTATTACACATATACTAGTTTATCCATATTTAAATACCGAAGGGTACTGGACTCATAATATCCATTCCTCTGGGGCCTAGGGGCCCAAGTTAAATTTTGCTTATATAAGCCACATTAATATCAATAGGCTTAATACTACTAAATGAATAGATGGATCTTGACCAAACTTATTACACACATACTTATTTATCCATATTTAAATACCGAAGCGTACTGGACTCATAATATCCATTCCTCTGGTGCCTAGGGGCCCAAGTTAAATTTTACTTATATAAGCCATATTAATATCAATAGGCTTAATACTACTAAATGAATGGATGGATATTGACCAAACTTATTACACATACACATGATCATCCATATTCAAATACCGAAAGGGTACTGAACTCATAA